TTTCTTCCAGAAATGTTGGCCTTTGAACATAATTTGCTTCAGTGTCGAGTTTTTTTTTTTTACTTAAATTGCTTCCCTTATCTCGTCAATAAAGAAATAATCAGATCGCTCACTTTTCAACTTTGCAATAAAATGCGTTTTTCTTTTTTAATGACTTAAATCTGGATTAGAAATTGTTCGACGGTGGAGTGTCTTTGTAGGCTTCTGTAAATCTGATCTGTTGCTTCAGGAGAAAATAAACTCATTGTTGTTTCTAGGTTGTTCACGCTTCTTTTAATGTACTTAAATTTAATAGATAAAATCTCAGATGTATTTATCTTGAAGCAGTAAACGTCACAAATGCAACAACGGAGATATCGCGAATCTGAATTAAGTAAGCACATCCAGAGCGATTCTTCCCACTGAGGGAACTGGGATTCTCATTATGTAAATATTGAATGAACGTCAGTTTAGTTATCTGTTTTACTTAACCTACGTTTCATACATTGTAAATTATATCTTCTGTACGTGCATCCACAAGACTTCATTGTGAAGTTTTAATAAGCACATGCATATGGCGTGCAGTTAGCTTGGCTTGCCAAAGTTCGGAGAGTGGCCCTTCAAGCCAATATTGTCCATTCTTAACCTAGGCAATAAAACCAAGGGCAATTTAATCCCTGTCGGTGTATAAATACTCACTTGCTAATCAGCCATCTTATTCCAGATGTACAAACATCTGTAAGACTAGTAAAAAAAGAACATATGTAAATACTTTGGCACAAACTTCACAGCTCAGACCCTCAGAACACATGATGAAGTAATATTTTAAGATTGTAACTAAACACTCAGAATCTTGTTTTGGGCACTGAATGTTTAGTTAACTATGAACAAGGCAGCATATGGAAGCGATTCTCCCGATCCTGGGAAAAACTCGCACCGCCCAAAGGGAAGATACAAGTGATACTTTGCAAATCCCATGGTATACCTAACATCACCTTTCAGTAGATTCTTCGTACCTCCCAAAAGATATTTAACATCACCATGATAATATAATTTCCGGTCTTTAGGCAACAGCCCTGCCCTTGGTCTCTCTGACGCAGGTGAGTGTAAAAACAATTCCGAAGACTGACACACCGGCATAAAACCAGTAGAGACCAGCGATGGTGAGGGTCACTTGCATGGGTGTAAAGAGTTGGAGCGCCGCAAAGTTGATCACACTGCCCAATACCATGCACAAGCCAGACAGCTGCAACATAAACGACAAAGGGAAAGTAGAGTGTTCTAAAAGGTAGACGTGTTTAAATACAGTATATATGAATAGTAACATGACTAAACACACGTTTACGCTATCGTTTTTATGTTGTTTGACTAGTGAGCTCAGACATTGAGCACATTAAAAATATCTTTACATGTCACATTCCTAATTAGCAGTATTTGCAAACTGACGTCCTATTTACTCCAAATCACTCAACGCTGTTCAATGGTTATACTGGTGCCTCTGGTCAGAGAGGCCTGGGGATCATTTCTCATTTGAATACAGTATCTGAAGTGTTAGTCTAACATTTAATTTTGGAAACTCGAAGAACAACCACCTCCACGTGGTAGCTTCTGGGTAATTTGGATGTACAAAATAGGTAAGAGCTCACAGTGTATATATTGTCTGTCTGGACAAAATATACAAATTTGGCATCAATTCTTATCGAATCACATTCCATAGGAGCTGGATGACCCATAAGGGTTTAATCCTCAAGGTATATAATACTAATATTGTTCACTCCAAAAAAACGCATACTAAGTATCATTCATGATTTATTGTGCGATCACTTAAGTATTTCATGTATTGGTGAACCTTCCTGAGTTCGAATGAGTTTAGGTCGGCATTCAAGTTTTTACTGCTGCTAAAATTACTCTAGGAAAGACGTTGAGAGCCTACCTGAGCTCTGACTGCTGTAGGAAAATACTCAGCATTGAGGAGTGCAGGGACTGGACCGGCGCCACAACTGGATGTAAACATGTAAAGCATGAGACAGGCTAGTGGCACCCAGCTGAAGGCCATCTTGGTGGTGGACCTGACAAGGGTGTAATGATGAGACAAGTTACACATATAGCAGGAAGTTATTGTTGTTCAAATGTTTCAAGGGTGACCCCACCACAATTTGATGATAAAATACCCGAACATGACTCAAGAAATCGTAATGACACGATTGCAAACAAACCACGGTACGGGCGGGATGTGAACCCGCGGTGAGTCGTAAAACTTTACTCACCGCGGGTTCAGTCCCCGTCTGTGAAGAAAATTCTCCAGTAAAGTGGGTATCTCTCAGCAGTCTCAGCCCTCTGAGGGACTTAGCCCTTCCAGAAGGGGTTAGTGGACTCTATCTTCCTCGCAAACAACTTCATTAGAACCACATGTGTACCAGGTATCTCCATGCACGGCTTTCTCCTTGCTAGAATTTTCTAAGCCGTTATACATACGAGTTAAAAGAGAGTAATTACTCTCGTGTAGAACAAATCACGTAGTGTTTATAGCGTCACCGTGTGACTTTCTTGATTGAACATTGGGAGTGCTGCAATATACAGTGTTATTCAGTGTTCTCAGAGCTGTGGGTAATTCCACGATACTATGAACAAATGATGGTACTGTATGACGTAGTGCAACCGATATTGGGAGTGACTGCAACGAACATTCCTAACGTTTGTGGCGAACATTAGTGCAACATTCTCCGAGACACCCAAGTCTTCAGTCAAGTCACCGATATCGGTCTCGTGTCAACACCAATGACACAGGACTCAAGCTATAAGTCAGACAGGTTTTATTTCATTTTCCTTTGCCCCAAAACACTGCAGTGTTCAGGTATATGTAAGTAGAATATTGGTCCCCTTAGAGACCTGGACAGGAATACCATCACCAAAAACCTAGTGAGTATCCATCGACATCACACGTAATCAATACGATATGCTGAAATATACGCTCCTTTGGGGCTAATTGCATAATAAACTTGTTAATCAACAGCCACTGTGGACACTGAGACGGCACCACGAGGGGATTTCCAGAGAGAGGCTGCTGGAAATCTTGCTGTTAAAGCATAAGCAACATTTGTCTTATGTTATTAGCATGAAGAAAAGTGTACTTAATAACCAGTTCTCCACACCGTCCGTACCGTGGTTTTTTTTTTACCTGAACTTGCTACTAAACAAAACAAAAAATGTAAATGTATTTTGTGACTCAGTTCATTAAGTTCTTATTTGTGCTTTGTAGTTCCATACATACCAGTTTTCGATGGTGTCTTCCGTTAAACTTGTTGTGTTTCTTGTCGCAGAAAATACTGAAATTTCAGCAGCATCTTTATAGTGGTGATAAACTCCCATAACCAGCAGGCAGAGAGTCATGACGACTAGAGATGATACCAGGCAAACCCGGCGGCCGAAGCGGTCCAAGTAGATGCAGGCTAAGACAGTGCCCGCTGCTTGCACAATGAAAACTAAGATGCTGGCCACATGCTCACTCAGAGTGGACCCAGCCTCCAGGAAAATGCGCGTCATGTTCACGTAGAACACCATCAGACCACAGAAGTTCTGAACGAAGAACAGCGTAAGCACAATTCCAAGTGACTTTAGGATATAAGGGTCCTGCAGGACTTTGATGAAAGGATCATTCGCTTTATCTTTGTTTTCGTCGCACAAATTCTGTACTTCTTCATCTACGTTAGCGCTCGGGCCTCGAAGTTTCCTTAAAATTTTCTTGGCCTTTCTCTTTTGTCCATTGATTGCTAAGAATGACGGACTCTCTGGCAGGAATACCATCACTGTGGTATGGGACACGATGATAGCTAAGCCTACAAATGCTATTTCGTACCAGCGTAACAGCAGACCCAGCGATGTGGTGAGGATATAACCAAGACTGAGAGCAAAGTTGGGAACAGTGGCTACCGCTCCCCGGATGGCAGTATCTGGTAGTTCAATAATATAGGTACTTGCTGAGACAAAAGTTGCCCCAACGCAGATCCCATGGACGACCCTGTAAATACGTACATTTTGTTACAAAGACACTTGTTTGCTGCTGTGGTTACAAATATAGTTAAACAGAGTAATGTGGTATTTCAGACAAATTGATAATGATTTTTCTAAACAGTGCATCGCTATAGAAAGACTAGCCACTATACTCATTCAGAATATGAAGATTAGAACATATTTTTTCTGATGTCATTCTTCGGTTTCCAGGAATGCTAAGAATATTTCTCATTATCTGTTAAAAAAAACTGTTAGAGAGAGAGAGAGAGAGAGAGAGGACTGACCTTGCAGCCAGCATCATGACAGGGTTGACAGCGAGAGCCAGCAGGAGCCAGGCCAGGGTGTAAGGCAGCAGCAGGAGCATCATAGCTTTCTTCCTTCCTATGGTCACCGCCAGCCACCCCCACAACCACGTTCCAGGCATGTTACCCACAGACACTATACTACCTACATCAAGACATAAACTGTATAAACAACGTAGATTGCTAATTACTATGTCAACTGGTTCTATGACATCAATTATGTTGCTGAACAAATAAAATGTGAGAAGAATTGTTACATAATCATAATTATTAAGTAAATCATATTCTCAGATAGTTTCATATTTCAGTCTCAAGATTTTCATTATATTACAAAGATAAAATTGCTGAAGGAAGTCGCAGTTAAATGAACAAAGAGAAATTAAATTTATGTGTACAACCTCCATATTTGTCACTGAGTATTACCTGAGTTAATACCTTCATGCTTTGTCACTGAGTATTATCTGAGTTAATACCTTCATGCTTTGTCACTGAGTATTATCTGAGTTAATACCTTCATGCTTTGTCATTGTGTATTACCTGCGTTAATATCTTCATGTGTGTTAATGTGCATTACCTGTGTTAATACCTTCATGTCTGACACAAGATATTTTCCCTAACTTCGTATCCAAAAATTTTGAGGTCCGTTGCTTAAGCAGTGCTGTTAAAAGTATATTTATATGTATTTACTATTTCCCGATAATTAATTAAAGACCAACAACAGTGAGCATCGGACATAAAAAATCATATGGTACTTCATTTTACTTTCAAATATTTGAAATTCTAATCACATTAGTTTTAAATTTCAATGCTAACAAAATGGATTGTTGTAATGACTGATTGAAAATGGATAAACTAATGTTTCCAACAATCTGCTGCAAACAATGATTCTTGAATAACTACCCTCAAAATATAGCACCTCCTTCCTTTTCCTTTCTCGAGGTGCAAGTGTTCCCTAACACTGTATTTGTGCAAGTGTTCCCTAACACTGTATTTGTGCAAGTGTTCCCTAACACTGTATTTGTGCAAGCGTTCCCTAACACTGTCTTGGTGCAAGTGTTCCCTAACACTGTCTTGGTGCAAGTGTTCCCTAACACTGTCTTGGTGCAAGTGTTCCCTAACACTGTCTTGGTGCAAGTGTTCCCTAACACTGTCTTGGTGACAAGTGTTCCCTAACACTGTCTTGGTACAAGTGTTCCCTAAACACTGTCTTGGTGCAAGTGTTCCCTAACACTGTCTTGGTGCAAGTGTTCCCTAACACTGTCTTGGTACAAGTGTTCCCTAACACTGTCTTGGTGCAAGTGTTCCCTAACACTGTCTTGGTGCAAGTGTTCCCTAACACTGTCTTGGTGCAAGTGTTCCCTAACACTGTCCAGGTGCGAGTGTTCCCTAACACTGTCTTGGTGCAAGTGTTCCCTAACACTGTCTTGGTACAAGTGTTCCCTAACACTGTCTTGGTACAAGTGTTCCCTAACACTGTCCAGGTGCAAGTGTTCCCTAACACTGTCTTGGTACAAGTGTTCCCTAACACTGTCTTGGTACAAGTGTTCCCTAACACTGTCCAGGTGCAAGTGTTCCCTAACACTGTCTTGGTGCAAGTGTTCCCTAACACTGTCTGGTACAAGTGTCCCTAACACTGTCCATGTGCAAGTGTTCCCTAACACGTCTTGGTACAAGTGTTCCCTAACAGTCTTGGTGCAAGTGTTCCTAACACTGTCTTGGTACAAGTGTTCCCTAACACTGTCCAGGTGCAAGTGTTCCCTAACACTGTCTTGGTACAAGTGTTCCCTAACACTGTCTTGGTGCAAGTGTTCCCTAACACTGTCTTGGTGCAAGTGTTCCCTAACACTGTCTTGGTACAAGTGTTTTCCCTAACACTGTCTTGGTGCAAGTGTTCCCTAACACTGTCTTGGTGCAAGTGTTCCCTAACACTGTCTTGGTACAAGTGTTCCCTAACACTGTCCAGGTGCAAGTGTTCCCTAACACTGTCTTGGTACAAGTGTTCCCTAACACTGTCCAGGTGCAAGTGTTCCCTAACACTGTCTTGGTACAAGTGTTCCCTAACACTGTCTTGGTACAAGTGTTCCCTAACACTGTCTTGGTACAAGTGTTCCCTAACACTGTCTTGGTACAAGTGTTCCCTAACACTGTCTTGGTACAAGTGTTCCCTAATACTGTCTTGGTACAAGTGTTCCCTAACACTGTCTTGGTACAAGTGTTCCCTAACACTGTCTTGGTACAAGTGTTCCCTAACACTGTCTTGGTACAAGGGTTTCCCTAACACTGTCTTGTACAAGTGTTCCCTAACACTGTCTTGGTACAAGTGTTCCCTAACACTGTCTTGGTACAAGTGTTCCCTAACACTGTCCTGGTACAAGTGTTCCCTAACACTGTCTTGGTGCAAGTGTTCCCTAACACTGTCTTGGTACAAGTGTTCCCTAACACTGTCTTGGTACAAGTGTTCCCTAATCACTGGTCTTGGTACAAGTGTTCCCTAACACTGTCTTGGTACAAGTGTTCCCTAACACTGTCCAGGTGCAAGTGTTCCCTAACACTGACTTGGTGCAAGTGTTCCCTAACAATGTCTTGGTACAAGTGTTCCCTAACACTGTCCAGGTGCAAGTGTTCCCTAACACTGTCTTGCTACAAGTGTTCCCTAACACTGTCTTGCTACAAGTGTTCCCTAACACTGTCTTGGTACAAGTGTTCCCTAACACTGTCCAGATGCAAGTGTTCCGTAACACTGTCTTGGTACAAGTGCTCCCTAACACTGTCTTGGTACAAATGTTCCCTAACACTGTCCAGGTGCAAGTGTTCCGTAACACTGTCTTGCTACAAGTGTTCCCTAACACTGTCTTGGTACAAGTGTTCCCTAACACTGTCCAGTTGCAAGTGTTCCCTAACACTGTCTTGGTACAAGTGTTCCCTAACACTGTCTTGGTACAAGTGTTCCCTAACACTGTCTTGGTACAAGTGCTCCCTAACACTGTCTTGGTACAAGTGTTCCCTAACACTGTCCTGGTACAAGTGTTCCCTAACACTGTCCTGGTACAAGTGTTCCCTAGCACTGTCTTGGTGCAAGTGTTCCCTAACACTGCCCAGGTACAAGTGTTCCCTAACACTGTCCTGGTACAAGTGTTCCCTAACACTGTCCTGGTACAAGTGTTCCCTAACACTGTCCTGGTACAAGTGTTCCCTAACACTGTCCTGGTACAAGTGTTCCCTAACACTGTCCAGGTACAAGTGTTCCCTAACACTGTCCTGGTACAAGTGTTCCCTAACACTGTCCAGGTACAAGTGTTCCCTAACACTGTCCAGGTGCAAGTGTTCCCTAACACTGTCCTGGTACAAGTGTTCCCTAACACTGTCGTGGTACAAGTGTTCCCTAACACTGCCCAGGTACAAGTGTTCCCTAACACTGTCCAGGTGCAAGTGTTCCCTAACACTGTCCAGGTGCAAGTGTTCCCTAACACTGTCCAGGTGCAAGTGTTCCCTAACACTGTCCTGGTACAAGTGTTCCCTAACACTGTCCAGGTGCAAGTGTTCCCTAACACTGTCCTGGTACAAGTGTTCCCTAACACTGTCCAGGTGCAAGTGTTCCCTAACACTGTCCTGGTACAAGTGTTCCCTAACACTGTCCAGGTGCAAGTGTTCCCTAACACTGTCCTGGTACAAATGTTCCTTAACGCTGTCCTGGTACAAGTGTTCCCTAACACTGTCCAGGTGCAAGTGTTCCCTAACACTGTCCAGGTGCAAGTGTTCCCTAACACTGTCCTGGTACAAGTGTTCCCTAGCACTGTCTTGGTGCAAGTGTTCCCTAACACTGCCCAGGTACAAGTGTTCCTACACTGTCCTGGTACAAGTTTCCCTAACAGTCTGGTACAAGTGTTCCCTAACAATGTCCGGTACAAGAGTTCTCCTAACCTGTCCGGTACAAGTTTTTCCCTACACTGTCTTGGTACATAGTGTTACCCTAACAATGCCCAGGACAAGTGTTCCCTAACACTGTCCAGTACAATGTTCCCTAACACTGTCCTGGTACAAGTTTCCCTAACATAGTCCAGACAGTACAACAGGTTCCTAACACTGTCTAGGTACAAGTGTTCCTAACACTGGTCCTGGTACAAGTGTTCCCTAACACTGTCCTGGTACAGAGTGTCCCTAACACTGTCTGGTGCAAGTGTTCCAAACAACTGTCCAGTGTACAAGTGTTCCCTAAACAGTCCTGGACAAGTGTTCCCTAGACACTGTCTTGGTGCAAGTGTTCCCTAACACTGTCTTGGTAAAGATACCTAACACTGTCCTAGGTACAAGTGTTCCCTAACACTGTCTTGTACAAGTGTTCCCTAACACGTCCAGTACAAGTGTTCCCTAACACTGTCCTGTACAAGTGTACCCTACACTGGTCCTGTTTGAAGTGTTCCTAAGACAGTCCCGGTACAGGTGTTTCCCTAACACTGTCCAGGTGCAAGTGTATTTCCTTAACACATGTACTGGTACAAGTGTTCCTTAAACACTGTCCAGGTGCAAATGTTTTCCTTAACACGTCCTGGTACTAAGTAATGTTCCCAAATAACACTGTCCAGTGCAAGTGTCCTTAACATTCTGTACAAGGTCCTAAACTGTCCTGTACAAGTGTTCCCTAACACTGTCCAAAGGGGCAAGTGTCCTTAACACTGGGCCTGGTACAAGGTTCCCTAACACTGCCTGGTACAAATTTTCCCAACACTTTTCCGGTACAATGTTCCCTAACCTGTCCTTAAATGTTTTTCCCCAACACTGTCCAGGGGCAAGTGTTCCCTAAAACTGTCCGGTACAAGTGTTCCCCAACACTGTCCAGGGGCAAGTGTTTTCCTTTAAAACTGTCCGGGACAAGTGTTCCCCAACACTGTCCGGTGCAAGTGTTCCTTAAAAAATGTCCTGGTACAAGTGTTTTCCCCAACACTGCCTGGACAATGTTCCCTAACACTGTCCAGTGCAAATGTTCCCTAACACGTCCTGGTACAAGTGTTCCCCCAAAACGCCAGGGCAAGTGTTCCCCAACACTTCCTTTCAAGTTTCCCAACACTGTCCTGGTACAAGTGTTCCCCAAAACTGTCCGGTACAAATGTTCCTTTAAAAGCTTGGTACAAAGGTTCCCTAAAACGTCCGGTACAAATTTTCCCTAACACTGCCAGGGCAAGGTTCCCTAACACTGTCCTGGTACAAGGGTTTCCCAACATGTCCGGTACAAGGTTTCCTTAACGCTGTCTTGCAACTACGGGCACTATTTGCTCCCTGGAAAACAAATTTCCCGTAAAAAATTTATCGCGTGAAAAAAAAAAAATTATTTCCACTGAAATGCTTTTTCATAAAAAATAAACCTCAGTCAAGACTTTAAAGACCTAAATTCCCCCCTCTTCTAATACATGTTCATTTTTCCCCTAAAAACTACTTTGTCCTAATTACTATCACATTTTCTTAGTCTTTTCGAAAGGAAATCCGGATCTTCCTTAATTCATGGGATAACTTAAAAAATTTTGAGACAATTTTGTTTCAGAAGTCTGACTGTGAAAAGGGGCTGAGCAGAGGCTGAGCAGAGGGCTGGCACAGGTCTGACACGCCAGACCTCTGAACACAACTGTTCTCAAAGATTTTTTAAGTTACCCTGAATTTAAAAAAAGGGCCTGGACTTCACTTTACAAAAAAAGAAAATCGGTAGTAATTATGAACAAGGGGAGTTATAGTGGAAACATAAACAAATATAGAAACGGAAGAACTTCGGTTTCCCAACTGCACCTGAATTTTTCTGTTTTAACAATAAAAAAGAAACACCCGTGCGAATGGGTTTCCCAGCATGCGTCGCCAGTGGTGAGACGATGGCGTGTTTTAGATGGTGGTGTTTAAGACAGGTCCAACCCCGGCAGGGTTGGGCCAGGAAGCCACCACAGCTAGTGCCAGGTGGCCCAGGCTGGCACCAAGGGTCATCATCACCTGCACACACAATTATCTTAATTCCAGGTTAATATCAATTCCAGAGATCTAATGCTCATTTTTTATATATCAAATTTATTTAGCTACCGCCTCTTTGGTACTAAAATATTGTATTTTAGTTGTAGTACAGCCAAGATAAGCATCTTAGGCATTTTATGAGCCATTATCCAAATTTATATGGGAGCGAAAGGAGTGTAGGAGTAAGCTGTAGAGCTGAGAGAGCTGTAGAGCTGAGAGAGTGAGCTGTACAGCTGTGACAGTGAGCTGTACAGCTGAGCCAGTGAGCTGTAGAACTGAGAGAGTGAGCTGTAGAGCTGAGAGTGAGCTGTAGAGCTGAGAGAGTGAGCTGTAGAGCTCAGAAAGTGAGCTGTAGAGCTGAAAGAGTTGTAAATGTGTGGAGTGAGTTCTATATAATGAGCAGCAGTACTAGAACCTGAAACTAAATTCAATGAAAAAGTAGGACCAAAAGCTGGAACCCAATTACATTATTATTATTATTATAATCAAGGGGGAAGCGCTAAACCCGGAGGATTATACAGCGCCTGGGGGGGGAGGGATGTGGAAGGCATTCAGGCTTAATTCGGGGAACTGGAACACAGATCCAATTCCCTAAATCAAGAGCCCCTCACCACCATCAAGGAACCTTCCTTGAGGGGTGGAACCCAATTACAATATGACAAAGAGATGGATCAAGTTACAGAAGCTAGAGCTTAACACCATCAACAGGTACAAGAGTCAGGGCTCAACATCCTCAACAGGCACAAGAGCTAGGGCTCAACATCCTCAACAGGTACAAGAGCTAGGGCTCAACATCCTCAACAGGTTCAAGAGCTAGGGCTCAACATCCTCAACAGGTACATGAGCTAGGGCTCAACATCCTCAACAGGTACAAGAGCTAGGGCTCAACATCCTCAACAGGTACAGGAGCTAGGGCTCAACATCCTCAACAGGTACAAGAGCTAGGGCTAAACATCTTCAACAGGCACAAGAGCTAGGGCTCAACATCCTCAACAGGTACAGGAGCAGGGGCTCAACACCTTCAATAGGTACAAGAGCTGGAGTTCAACATAATAATAAAGTGAGGCAGAGAGTCTGCTACACCGTCTCCTCTGACACGAGACAGATAAATTAATGGTCAGGGAACTGCACAGGGACCAAGAGCTACAATACTAACAATTCAGTTTGTTGTTTATACAAACAATTAGCAGGATGAACGAAGTCAAAAATACAGAACAAGGTTTACTGTGGTAATATCTCGCTCTCTGCAGAGCTTTACCAAATCAATGACTTAAGAAAGCTTTACACGTGATGATAAGTCGTGACAATATACGTATTTCGCGGCTTATTAGACGCATTTTTTTCATAAAATGTCCTTAAAAACCACCCTGCGTCCTATAAACTGAAGGTCAGTAATGGAAGCTGTAAATCTGAGGTGTGGGTTGGGTTGTAGCTCTCCCAGTTACGTCGGATGCCGAGTCATTGAAACTAAAAAAAGTCTTATAAGTCGCGTCTTATAAGCCGCGAAATACGGTATTCGTTTTCTTCATCTGTATTCTTTCTTCATTTCTACTGGCAGTACACAATTGTATCAGACTTTGTAGCTAGAGTTCAGCATCTTAAAAACACTGGTAAAAGTCAACTTTGGGTCCAGGAGCTATAGCAAGTTTCGGTCATGACCCATATTGCCCAACACCTTCTGCACCCACGGGATTTGAAACTTTGTACTCTCACAGTTAAAATTTGAAACTCTGTACTCTCACAGTTAAAATTTGGAACTCTGTACTCTCACAGTTAAAATTTGGAACTCTGTACTCTCACAGTTAAAATTTGAAACTCTGTACTCTCACAGTTAAAATTTGAAACTCTGTACTCTCACAGTTAAAATTTGGAACTCTGTACTCTCACAGTTAAAATTTGGAACTCTCTACTCTCACAGTTAAAATTTGGAATTCTGTACTCTCTCAGTTAAAATTTGAAACTCTCTACTCTCACAGTTAATATTTGAAACTCTCTACTCTCACAGTTAATATTTGAGTCAATCAGAACAGGAGTTTTGAAGAAATTTTATACTAAATAACTTTATACCATCAACACATCCTTCAAACCTTGTGTATTACCATATATGTATGTACAGAAGATGGGAAGGTAGGATAAGTAGAATGTTCAAACAGCTTCTTCGAAGCATTTTCATCTACTTCTCTGAGGCTGTGGATACCCACAGTCACACTAGAAGTGGACCCCAATTTAAAATTTATTAATTCATAAAATATGAATGACTTTTAGCTCCCAGAAACTGTGGTGCTCATACAGTCTGGTCATGAACCAATGTCTATTGTCAGAGTTTGCCAGATGAACATTTGGAACAATCATTTGCAGGTTTTATCCATGGAGTACAAATAAACAATGAGAAACCACGGTACGGGCGGGGATTGAACCCGTGGTGAGTTGTAAAACTCCAGACTGACGCGTTAATCTTCCTGTGGTATATTAATATACTTAGTTGGATGAATCTTATTGTAGCCAGCTGGCCCAGTGGCTAACGCGTCGGTCTGGAGTTTTACGACTCACCGCGGGTTCAGTCCCCGCCCGTACATTGGTTTGTTTGCAATAGTATCACTACGATTTCGTGAGTCAGAAACAATGAGAACCTGAAACATGCAGCACTTTAAATCAAAGGGATAAAACAAGTAATTTCAGCTTCAAGCTTTTAAAATAAGGCTTGAATTACACTTAATATTTAAATATGTAAAGGGGTATAAGATGCTCTTTTTTTTCTCGAAAATGACTTAACTGCAGTGCTTTAAATATTTGTTATTGCCTTAAGAGGTTATAACATCCTGTTTATATTCTTTTTCTAGCTAACCAAACAAAGATTATATAAAAACTTAAAAAAATGACAATAAGAATGAACCATACCCTGGCCGGATTGAACCCGCGGTCAGAGAGTCTCAAAACTCCAGCCCGTCGCGTTAGCCACTAGACCAGCTAGCCACAATAAGATTCGTCTAACTAGGTATATTTCTACACCATAGGAAGGTTAGAATAGGCACCACTGTGACCACAAATGCAAGTTTTTACAGACGAATCTCCAGCTAGCGTGGCCGTGACGAACTCTAGCTCAAGTCCCTTCACTGCCGTCAACATGACTCACGGCCACGCTAGCTGGAGATTCGTCTGTAAAAACTTGCATTTGTGGTCACAGTGGTGCCTGTGCTAACCTTCCTATGGTGTAGAAATATACCTAGTTGGACGAATCTTATTGTGGCTAGCTGGTCTAGTGGCTAACGCGACGGTCTGGAGTTTTGAGACTCTCTGACCGCGGGTTCAATCCCGGCCGGGGTATGGTTTGTTTGCAATCGTGTCATTACGATTTCTTGAGTCAAGTTAATAAGAATGAAGTTTGTAAAATACATTTGTTTCCACACTGGCTCAGACAAGACGGATTCTACACAGATGACAACAAAAAAGTGAATGAGATACTGAAATGTGAATATGACTCTGTGGTCAGCGAACCACTAATCAGTCTGAATTGTTTAATTTTAAAGTTTTTTCCATGAATTAGCCCCAAAACCCTGCCAATGTATGCCAAATTTCTGACATAACCCTAACTCCACTAGACCTTGAGAAAGCCATTGACAACATGCCCATGCACTCAGCCCCAGACCCAGACTCGTGGAACTCTGTGTTCATTAAGAGCAAGAAACCCCTCTCCCGGGCTCTAAGTTTGCTAAGAAGGAGCATAGACACAGGTGAGATTCCATAGTCACTGAAAACAACGGATATAGCCCCACTCCATGAAGGTGGCAGAAAAGCAGCAGCTAAGAACTATAGATCAGTAACTTTAACGACTCTCATGATAAAAATCTTTGAAAGAGTTCTAAGAAGCAGGATTGCAAATCACTTGGACTCCCAAAAATTGCACAATCCAGGGCAACGTGTTTTCAGAGCAGGTTGCTCCTGCCTCTCGCAACTACTGGACCACTATGATATGATCTTAGATGCACTGGAAAACAAACAGAATGCAGATGTAGTATACACAGATTTTGTAAAAGTCTTTGACAAGTGCGATCATGGTGTAATAGCACACAAAATGTGTGCTACACGGATAACTGGCAAAGTAGGCAGATGGATCTTCAACTTTTCTAACCAATCGAACACAAAGAGTAGTGGTAAACAGAGTTAAATCGGAAGCTCTGTTCCACAAGGCACAGTACTTGACCCTATCCTGTTCCTCATCCTCATATCAGACATAGACAGAGATGTAAACCATAGCACCGTATCATCTTTTGCAGACGATACTAGGATCTGCATGAGAGTGTCATCCATTGAGGACACGGTAAATCTCCAAGAAGATGTAAACCAAGTTTTCCAATGGGCAACGGAGAACAACATGATTTTCAATGAAAACAAATTCCAACTACTCCGTTATGGAAAACTGGAGAAATAATAACTAGAACCGAGTATACTAAAACTCTAATCACACAATAGACCGGAAAAATAATGTGAAGGACCTGGGAGTGGTAATGTTCGAAGATCTCAACATCAAGGATCACATCAGTGCCACTATCACATCTGTGAGGAAACTGATAGGATGGATAATGAGAACATTCAAGACAAGAGATGCCAAGCCAATGATGATCCTTTTTAAATCACTTGTTCTCTCTAGGCTGGAATACTGCTGTACATTAACATCCCCATTCGAGGCAGGTGAAATTGCAGATCTGGAGAATGTACAGAGAACCTTACTGCACATGTAAGTTCCATCAAACACCTTAACTACTGGGAACTCTTGGAAGTACTTGAGTTGTACTCACAGGAGCGCAGGCGAGAGAGAGAAATCATAATCTACACCTGAAAGATCCTGGAGGGACTGGTCCCTAATCTGCACACGCAAATTACTCCCTGCGAAAGCAAAGGACTTGACAGGCGATGCAACATACCCCCAGTGAAAAGTAGGGGCTCCATTGGTACACTAAGAGAAAACACCATAAGTGTCCGGGGCCCAAGACTGTCAACAGCCTCCCACCAGCCATAAGGTCCCTGGTTGTCTTCAAGAGGGAGCTGGACAGATACCTAAAGTCAGTGCCGGATCAGCCGGGCTGTGGTTCGTACGTTAGACTACGTGCGGCCAGCAGTAACAGCCTCGTTGATGAGGACCTGATCCACTAGGAGGCCTGGTCATGGACCGGGCCGCGGGGGCGTTGATCCCCGGAATGCCCTCCAGTAGACTCCAGGTGAACTTCAGCAGATTTTGAAAATAATGAATATGAATAATGAGCACATGTCAGATGTATGATTTCAAAGCACATTTTTTTTTAAATTCCATTAGAGTGTTTGTACAACGGAGACAGAAATTCAATATTTAAAAAAATATACCATGTAATTTAACAATGTCGATAATCATTCAAAATAAGCACACAACAAAATATAATTTCTCTCAAAGTTAAAATAATGAAAATCGTTAAGAAAAAACGTTACTTGCTAATATCAAAACTCTTTTCTAAATTTTTCTAAATTTTGCTAATAGGGACGTATAAACCACACCAACAATACCAGTCTTCCTCTGACTAGTATAAACAAATGTGGAATATTTGAGAGGAACTGAAGAGGGAAAAACTTACGTCAGCTCTTAAAGTGTATTCCTTTACAAAGAAGGTTACCGTAGATGTATTTTAAATACAAAGGTTCGAAGTCAGATTCTGAAGCTGACCGACCTAATTAAAGTGATGGAACAATGACTCTCGAAATCGTAATAACACGATTGAAAACACAGTACGGGTGGGTTAGAACCCATGGGAAGCGAGTCGTAAAACTCCTAGCCCAGTGCGTAAACCACTGGGTCATGGTTTCTAACCCCGCCCGTACTGTTGTTTGTTTTGATGAATCTATGATTTGAAATTGAGACCAGTGTTTGAGTCCAGGTTTATGATGGTTTGAGGAGAGATGTGGTAGAAAGATGGATCATAGAATTAGGACATGGTAAAACGACACTGTAGACAGATTTAAGCTATGGAAAGAGATAATGATGTCAAAACAATGAAAAAATCAAGATTATGGCTATAACGTAACTAAAGGGCAGTCAGTAAGGTTAAAATAAGGACAGAGTGAAGTAACGATAACGAAATTACCTGCATTCCGAGCCTCCGCCTTCTGTCTCCGCTATGTTCCAGCGGCCTGGCTCCTTCACCTCCTGGAAGGAGGACAGTGATGTCAATGACACAAATTTACGTTCACTTATTTACCTGCACTCTCCCTGCAAGGTCATTAAAGAACAAATTTTCTCAATATTATCATATCTGTCAGTGAATATTTATTATTTCAATTTACATTAATAAGATTAATCTAGTCAATATTTGTATGAAATTATACTTTTAGAAAATGACGTAAGAATTTTCAATAATTTCTTTTGCTTCTCCTATATTTTCCCGCGAACAAGTTTATTATACAAAAATATGCAAAATTAATATAGATAGTTTTTATCATAATAGGACCACTTTTAGAAGGTCGAGTTTATGTTGGGTCTCGCACCTCCACTTCCATTGTTTCCAACTCCCTTTATTGTATATAAAAATGTTTACATTCAAACTTTATGATCTTTCCATTTCTGACCCCTAACTTAGATATTGTTAAACGTTTCTGTGTAATTTGTCCCTTGCTACTGTACCTTATTTTTGTCTTCCTAGAATCCAAGAACATGGTGTTCCTCTTAACTAGATGCTTTGTCTCTCATCCTCTTGCCTCTTGCCTTGCTAAAACATTTACTGCTGACGTCTTTTTTTCACTAATTCGTCTTTGTGTGCATTTTAACTCATTTTATTTCCAAGATACTAATCTCAAACTTTTCGATATGCCTATGGGCTCTTCACTGCTTACTGTTAAAATAATTACTTCACCCAGGATTCGTTATCTAGATGATATCTTCACTCTGTGGCCACATGACTCTAGTTTCTTCTAACCATTTCTTATTGCTCTTGACAATCTTGCTCCAACTATCTAATTAAGAGCTGAATGGGACTCCAATTCAGTATTTCCGTTCCTTGATGTTCATGTCCACCGTTCAGTGATGCGCTTTTTTCCGTATGCAGAAGACGTAAAATGCTGACAAATTCAAGAAGTCTTTATTGGTACAATGTTTCACCCACAGCGGGGACTTTATCAAATACCATCCATATCTTTATCCGCCTGCCGTTAGCCACTACATAGTGGCATGTACCATGCGCAGTATGCTAAGTGAAGTGTTCTTGTGTCTTCCTCCACACACTCAGCACATCGTCTCTGAAATTTGCGCTTTACGCAGTTAATTCTCTCCTCTTAGCTATCCACCCAGTTTCTTAGACTCGTCTACTCTCATGATAAATAAATTTTCTTCTTTCCTTATTCCAATTCTCTGAAAAAAAACATTTGTACTCTCCTTTACCTTTATATCTCATTTTAAAATTCTTAATAACATCGTATTTCCTCTTGATATTAAACTTGCTTTTAGAGAGAAATCTGGTTCATGTCCATTCTCTTCTCACTGACCTTCCGGTGTTTATCTTATTTCATGCTTCCCTCGCTCTCTTTGATAGATTAAATAAGTGAAATTGGCTGCCCCTTTCTCACCGGCATTCTGATTGCCTTGCTGACGCTAATAAAGTTCCTTTCTGACATGTTAAAAACAAAACCATTCATAAATTGAGTCCTGAGCGATAACTATCTGCCATTTTCTATAAAGATGCTGTCGTGTACAATCGCACTTCTAATCAATATTTATAACATGAATTTCAGTCCCTGTTTATTTTGTATTTATCTTGCATTTATCAGTGTATTATCACACGTGATAAACTTCTGTAATCACGTGCATGATTTGACTTTGGATTCCTCATCTGTTCATATAATACTTCTTAGTTTTCTTCCCTGTACTCACTCATTCACTATGTGATATTAATCAAGGACAAACTGAAGCGTCGTTTAAAGTTTCCTTTACAAAAAGTGTGGATTAGTCTTTAATTATTCCAGTTGCGTTGCACTGTTTGTTATTTTTTTTATCTAATTCCACTTATGAAGGCCACGTTTCATATGGCAGCCGACGTGACCAATGTGAAGGATATTTTGACCATTGCAAAGATATTTCCACATTGATTTATTTCTGTAGCACATGGTGATTTATTTCCACAAGCTACCCTCATGAAAAAAGGGGAGCTAAAGCCAGTGGTATTGGCTGATAGAGAATGAAAATATATCAGATACATCCCATTAACTATGACAACTATACATATTTCCTTAGTTGTGATGACCTGTGTTCCGAGGTATGCAGAATAAAGCTGGGATCTCCACTTTACCATTACATGACCAACGGGACAGCTTAATGTGTTAAAGAATTTTGTTTTCCTAGGCTACCCAAATAACAAATGCATGCAATTTTATGAATTATATTAAAGAGGTTAAAATGTCTGCTTGCAGTGTCGCAGTGTAGAGATAAAGCAAGGAATGCTAAGTACCAAGATTAGGTAGTTTTCACAGCTAATGCACCTCAACCACTGCACAACAGATTCTGCACCCGGCCGTAAACTAGCTCCTAACTACACCACTACCACATGTCCCTCACTTGTTCCTGCCTCTGCATATCACTAACGCTTCTCCCTTCAGTGTCTTCAGGTTGAGTTCCCTTAACTTCTCATAGGACAAGCTCGTTAGGTCCGGGACTAGTCTCGTTGCAGACCTCTGCGCTTTCTCCAGTTTCATGACATGCTTGACCATGTATAGGTTCCAAATTGGTGTTGCAAACTCCAATATGGGACTGACATGCACTGCATACAGTGTCGTGAACAACTCCTTACTAAAAGCTAGTCTTGGATTCACCAGACGCAAAATTACTGCAGAAATTAAGTTGCTGATGTGCACCTCGGGCGATATACTCGGTACAATGCTCACCCCAAGGTCCTTCTCCCCGAGTGAGGCTTGCAGCCTTTGCCCACGACCCTGTACTCCGTCTGCGATCTTTTATGCCATTCCCCCAAACTGCATAACTTTGCACTTGCCATGGGTAAACTCAAGTAGCCACTTGTCAAACTAGACCTCTCTCTCTCTCTCTCTCTCTCTCTCTCTCTCTCTCTCTCTCTCTCTCTCTCTCTCTCTCTCTCTCTCTCTCTCTCTTTGTGCTCAACTACATGCAGTTGCAGAGATCAAGTCACAGCTCCTGGTCCCTCCTCTTCGCTGGTCGCTACAAGGTCCATTCTCCAGCTATTAAAGCTTTATCGTACCTCTTCTTCAAGATTGTTCCACTTTCTGACAACTCTAAAGCTGAAGAAATACTTAACATTCCTATGACTTATCCGAGTTTCAACTTCCAGTTGTGTCCTCATGTTCCTGTGCCCCATCTCTGAAACATTCTGGCCCTGTTTACCTTGTCAATTCCTCTCAGTATTTTATACGTTGTTATGTTCCTCGCTGTCCGTTCTGTCCTCCAGTGTCGTCAGGTTGAGTTCCTTTAACCTATCCTTGTAGGACATACCCCTTAGCTCCGGGATTCGTCTTGTTGCAAATTTTTGCACTTTCATTTCTTGATTTGCTTGACCAGGTGTGGGTTCCATATTGGTGCTGCATATTCCAAAATGGGCCAGACGTACACGGTGTACAGTGTCTTGAATGACTTCTTACTCAGGGGTCGATACGCTATCCTTGTTTTTGCCAGGTACCCATATGCTGCAGCAGTTATTTGACTGATGTGTGCCTCAGGAAATGTGCTTATTGTGATACTCACCACAAGATCCTTTTCCTTGAGTGAGGTTTGCAGCCTTTGACCCTCGAACCTCTACTCCGTCTGCGGTCTTTCTTGTCCTTCTCCAAGCTTCATGACTCTGCACTTGGTAGGGTTAAAGTCCAGGAATGATTTGTTGGATCTGGCTTTCAGCCTGTCCAGATCCCTTTGTAGTCTTTCCTAATCCTCGTCCACTTGTATTCTCCTCATTAGCTTCACATCATCTGCAAAAAGGGACACCTCTTGACTTTATCTCAT